CCTGTGTCCTGTGCCCCGTGTCCTGTGCCCCGTGTCCTGTGTCCTGTGTCCTGTGCCCTGTGTCCTGTGCCCCGTGTCCTGTGCCCTGTGCTCTGTGTCCTGTGTCCTGTGTCCTGTGTCCTGTGTCCTGTGCTCTGTGTCCTGTGTCCTGTGCCCTGTGCCCTGTGCCCTGTGGCCTGTGTCATGTGTCCTGTGTCCTGTGCCCTGTGCCCTGTGCCCTGTGGCCTGTGGCCTGTGGCCTGTGGCTTGTGCTCTGTGCCCTGTGGCCTGTGGCCTGTGGCCTGTGGCTTGTGCTCTGTGCCCTGTGGCCTGTGGCCTGTGTCCTGTGCCCTGTGCCCTGTGTCCTGTGTCCTGTGGCCTGTGGCCTGTGGCCTGTGGCCTGTGGCTTGTGCTCTGTGTCCTGTGCCCTGTGGCCTGTGGCCTGTGGCTTGTGTCCTGTGTCCTGTGGCCTGTGGGCTGTGCCCTGTGGCCTGTGGCCTGTGTCCTGTGCCCCGTGCCCTGTGGCCTGTGGCCTGTGGCCTGTGGCTTGTGCTCTGTGGGCTGTGCGCCGGGTGTTGAGTGATGAGCAAATGTTTTAGTTTTGCAGCAATGATTTAACAACAGACTCTGGGTCTCGATTCAGAGCTGAGCTGCCCTTGGCTTCATGGGGCGTCTGGTTCAGACGCTGGTGGTGGAGGCGCTGCCCGGCCTCTTGCTGGGCTCCTGTGAAGTCCAGCCCCTCACAGCCGGCCATCCACAAAAGCACACAGCAAAGACCCACACTTCCCCAACGCTCAGGCCCTGTGGAGCCCGGTCTTTGTGACGGAGGCCCGTGCACGCAGGCCCAGGCCAGCCGAAGGCTGCTGGAAGTGCTGGATGCCTAGCTCTCTGTGGTTAAAGTCTGGCCAGATGGGGAGGGCTGGGCCCAGGCTGGAGGGGAGGCGGGCCGTCTGCTCATAGCTTGTAGCGGGATGAGCGTGGCGGCGTCCCTCCATGCTGCGGGCCCCGGGCGAGACTCAAGCCCGGCTCTGGCCTCCTCTCCCTTTGTGTCTCATGCTCAGCTCCCATGCTTGGCTGCAGCTTCTGGCCTGAGAACCAGGGGTTCCACCACGCCCCCCAGGTGTGGGGTAAGCACCGGGGAGCAGCGGAGCCTGTCAGCTGGTAGCAGGCAGTCCCCTGCCCCTGGGTGGCGCCGTGGCAGGTGGCAGGTGCGTGCCAGACCCTCACTGCTGAAGGAGACGCTTTGTGCCCGTCCTGCCTCTTGAGGTTCAGGCACCAGCAGGGGCTCTGCGTGAGAATGGGAGCCTCTGTGTTAGGGGACCCCCTCCCTCAGGAATCAGTAGTTCTCATGTGAACTAAATTGTGTCCCCCCCTGACCCCCCAATTCATGGATCGAGGCCCCCATACCCAAGGGGACTCTCAAGTGAGGCTTTGGGGGAAGAACTTAGTGCTAAGGTTAGAATGAGATCTGGTGCAAAGGGCCTGTGGCCTTACGCAGAGAAGGAGGCGCGGGGTCGGGGAGGGCCCTGGGAGGACACAGAGGCGCTGTCCCCACCCCGGGGACGGTGCCTCAGGGGCAGCCAACTCTCAGCCTTGCCGGTCCCCGCCCGCACCCCCACGCAGGCCCCCTGAGCCGTCTCCATCTTGGTCCAGTCTGAGGTCCCTTGGCGTTGGCACGCCCAGCACTGTGACTGCCCCTCCCGGCCCCTCCCGGCCCCTCCCGGCCCCTCCCGGCCCCTCCCGGCCCCTCCCGGCCCCTCCCGGCCCCTCCCGGCCCAGGGGCCCCTCGGCCGCTCGCCAGGGAGGCCCCTCCTGCAGCCACACCTGCCGCCCCCGCTGGCCACCTGCGCCCTCCCTGGGGCTCTGGGCTCCTCTGCTTTGTTGCCCGGCAGCCGTCCCCCCTGGGCCCGGCGGTGTGCAGCACGGGGTTCACGGGAGCCGAGGCACCGGGCACACGGCGCTGTTTACCGGACGATGCTCCCTGAGGGGCTGTGGGAGGGAAGAGTGGACGGCACAGGCAACTCCGGCCACCGTGAGCTGAGCTCTGCCCCCATCAGGGCAGATGGGTCCGTGCAATCGGGGCGATCGGAATAATGGCTTCTCCGAGGGCGCAGATGGCAGTGGGACTTCCTGGGGCCTCGGGGACCGCTGTTCTATCATCTGGGGCCTCGGGGACCGCTGTTCTATCGTCTGGGGTGGCTGGCTGGTGAGGGCGGCCTTCCCTGGCAGAGGTTGCCCACGTCTGCATGGACTTGTGGCCCCCGTGCCAGAGTAACGGACATGGGCCTGGGTCTCCCAGCAGCTGCTTCGTTCTGAGAACGCGACTTCTCGTAATGGCCTGTGGTTAGTGCTTGCTCTTCTGGGGTCTTTGCAGCTCACTGCCTTCACACGCAAGGTGCCCGGCCCTGCGCAGAACCCTGGTCTCCCAAGCTTCCTCTGAGAACAGAATCATCTTGGGGGATTCCAGTGGATGCAGAGATGCAGAAGATCCCTGGGATCTTCTGGGAGATCTCTGGGAGTTCCGGACTGCAGCAGGGCTCTCCCGGTGCTGTCAGAGACCGGGGCGGATGCTCTGCAGGCACAGCCGGCAGGCAAGCCGGGCGTCTTGGCTGGAGCTCTTCTTGGGACCGGAGGCCTGCATGCTAAGTCTCAGAAGTGCTGGTTTTGAGGAGTGTGGGCGCAGGGGACGCAGGGGACAGGAGGCCTCCAAGGGCCAGGCTCACTTTGCCCCTGTCCTGTGGCGCTCATCCCCAGCACCACCAGCCCCCGCTTCCGGGCTGAGCTGCTGAAGGCACCGGGACTGCTCTGTGGGCTCCATTCACAGAGGCTGACCTTGCTGGGGGCCAGGCCATGTGGAGGAGCAACACTTCTCAGTCCCCACGTCTGTCCCTACAGCGCCCTCCTGTGGGAGCCCAGAGCCCTCACCGAGGCCCAGCTCCTGAGTCCCCTGCGTCTCCTGCCCCCCACGCCTCTCCTGTCCCCTGACCCCCCACGCCTCTCCTGTCCCCTGACCCCTCACTCCTTTCTGCCCCTCACTCAGGACGGGACAACAAACCCCGTACTCAGGGATGGACACCACCTCCTCCCCATGTCCACCCTCTGCTCCTCCCCATGTCCACCCTCTCCTCCCCATGTCCACCCTCTGCTCCTCCCCATGTCCACCCTCTCCTCCCCATGTCCACCCGGCCCTGGCCTTCTTACCCATACCTGCCTGCCAGCATTTTTCACCCTTGCGTCTTGCACTTTGCTCACACTTGGTGCACAGCTGCGCTCCGAGGCCGGTTGTGGTCTTAGACCCAACTGTGGTGAGTGCTTTTCTAGACGCGGCGTCGGGAGCCGGGGGCTGGGGGGGAGGCCGGGTGGGCAGGGCAGGCCACAGGAGGGGCTGTGTTCCCACACGTGGGGGGCCGCGGAGGTCAACGGGACGTGTGTCCTGGGGGAAACCATGCTGGGGGCCTCCCTCGGCCAGGCAGATGCAGGGTCACAGTTGTAGGGTCACAGACGCGGGGTCACAGGTGCTGAGGTCACAGACAGTGGGGTCATGGATGCTGGGGTCACAGCTGCCGGGGTCATGGACAGTGGGGTCACAGATGCTGGGGTCCCGGATGCTGGGGTCACAGACGCTGGGGTCCCGGACGCTGGGGTCACAGACGCTGGGGTCCCGGACGCTGGGGTCACAGACGCTGGGGTCCCGGACGCTGGGGTCACAGGTGCTGAGGTCACAGACAGTGGGGTCATGGATGCTGGGGTCACAGCTGCCGGGGTCATGGACAGTGGGGTCACAGACGCTGGGGTCCCGGACGCTGGGGTCACAGACGCTGGGGTCCCGGACGCTGGGTCCCGGACGCCAGTCACTGCGGGACCCTCCTGACTCACAGCAGCCAGTCCTCAGGGACCTTCATCCTGGTCCTCCACCACTGTCCAAATATAGACATAAATTACCTGGTTGAAGGCGACACCCCAAAGGGAAGAGAGTGTCTTGCGGTTTTCTTTGAAGACAGGGTCTTTTGTGCCGGCCAGCTGGGGCCAGGGTGCGCTGCCCCTCACTGGGGGGTCAGCAAGGGTCGCCCAGTGTGAGGTGGAGCCGCCTGGTCTGCACGCTCGCTGTGGGGCGTCTGGGGGGTGGGGAGGCCGGTGGTCTGAGGAGCTGGATGGGCAGCTGACAGGAGGAGCAGTCCAGACGTTGTACTGGGTCGGGCCTGGCTGCGACACCACGGGTCCCGGGGTCTGTGCGAGTGTGTTGCGGTTTGTGGTTCCAGGACTGTGTGAGCAGGCTGGCTGTGGGCCGTGGAATGGAGCCCCCTGGTGCAGGGACAGGGGTCCAGGCTGTCCCAGCAGAACGGAGCCCCCTGGTGTAGGGACAGGGGTCCAGGCTGTCCCAGCAGAACGGAGCCCCCTGGTGCTGCGGAGGCCTGCGGGAGTCAGGCCAGCTCTGTCCTGCAGGACAGCGGTGAGGTGCAGGGCAGAGGCTCTGTCCTGGACTCGGAGGAGGCTCTGGTCTCTGGAGGGGCTCCTAGGTGGCAGACGCCGTTCCCTCTGCCTGGCTGGTTTGGGGCTGGACTTGAGGCAGGCTACACAGTGGTGGTCATGGAGCCCTGACTCTACCCCGGGGCCGTGTCCCCTGGGTGTCTGGGAGGCTCCAGAGGCCCTCGGCCTCCAGACCTCCCTTTGTCACCAGCTTCGGGAGAAGTCCTCATGGCCAAGCCCAGCCCCCAGCGCAGCCTGGGGAGCTGTGGCCTCATGGGGCGCTGCTCTCAGGGTGTCTGGGTGCGCTCCGCGCTGGCTCCCGGCCGGCCCAGCCTCCAGTCCCACACTGGCCCCACGGCAGCCTCTGGAACCCAGGGCCCCCCGGGCCCTCCTCACGTGCCCTGGGCCACGCTGGTTCATCTCTGGCCATACACGCTGTAGATGTGGTTCTTTCTTGGCCTCCCAGGGTGACTTTGGCGGTGGTTTTGGAGTGGTTTCCACCAGTGTCAGCCTGGCTGGGGTCCCCAAGGCCTGCTGACCTGGGTGAGGGCGGGGACGGGAGGGACTTCCCAGCAAGAGCGAGGCCCCGACCTGCCGACACCGCTCCTCACGCACAGTGTTGATGGGAAGCCCGGCAGATGTAGAAGTCGTGTCCCAGGGACTCGCTGTGTTCCCCCGGGCACCGCTGCTTACCAGGGAGGAAGAGGACATCTATGTACTCTGGACGTTCCCGTCCTGTGGTGCCCTCACGCACCACTGGTGCCCGTTTTGGTCATGCTAGGCACGGTGGCGTTCGAGGTGTCCTGTGCTCTGGGGACCAGCAGACCCTTCCTCACCATGCCAGGGGGAGCGGGAAGGGCACCCTGGGGTTCCCACGGCTTCACCATGAGCGCAGGAGCCTCTAAAAGTAACTCAGCCCAGACCAGACGTGGCGCCCGGGGCAGGCAGGGTCCCCTAGGATGACCGGACATGGCGCCCGGGGCAGGCAGGGTCCCCTAGGATGACCAGACGTGGTGCCCGGGGCAGGCAGGGGACCTGAGCATGCCTGGGCCTGGGGTGCTGTCAGGCCCACTCTCCATGGTGCACTGTTCTTTTTTTTTACATTTTTTTTGTGATTAAGTGGTTACATAATTTCCCAGGTTTCACAGCATTATGGGATAGTGATGCTCAGTTAAAGTCACAAACACATTCTAACTTTCCTGGAGCAAATTGTCTATCACGGTCTATAACACTGATGAGTTCTATGAGTTTTGCGATACAGTTATTTCTTCCACATTGGGTGGTATGTACATTTCTTTTGTTTTGCATAGCATCAGCTGTTCCCTCTTTCCCACTTGTTCCCTCCCTCCCATCGCTGCCATTGAGTTGCTTAGTTCATTTTGGTCAATGTCCAGTGCAGCTGATGGGTCCTGTTGTTGTATGTTTTTCCCTGATTCCCTCTAGTTTTGTGTTGTCCTCCTGGTTTCCCTCCAGTGTACACATATATACCATATATGTGATCAGCAGCATGGGGTTATTTAGTAGTGGTTCAACCAGATGACTGGGAGTTCTTTGTTTCTTAAGTCCTGTTAATTTTATCGTATCACCTAACATTTTGGATTTAACATCCACTTATTAGGGAGACCATGTACCATTTGTCTCTTTGCTCTTGGCTTACCTCACTCAACATGATTTCTTCTAGCTCCATCCATTTCCCTGCAAATGCCATTATTTTGTCATTTCTAATGGCTGCATAATATTCCATTGTGTATAGATACCACAATTTTTGGGTCCATTCATCTGTGGTGGGATTTCTGGATTGTTTCCATATCCTGGCTATTGTGAACCGTGCTGCAATAAACATGGAGGTGCATGTGTCCTTGTATATTGGTTCCTGTTGTTCAGGGTAGATGCCTAGAAGTGGTATGACTGGGTCGTAAGGGAGGTCAATAGTTAGCTTTCTGAGGACCCTCCAGACTGCCTTCCAAAGTGGTGGTATAAGTGTACATTCCCACCAGCAGTAGTGCACTCTTCTTGAAGAACTCATGGTTATCATGAGCTCGGCCCTCCTCCCTGTGCAACCTGCAGAGCGTGGTGTCTGTGCCTCCGCTGTGCAGGGGGACAGATCGACTCCCCAGGTTTAACTGGAATGTCCAAGAGCTGTGGTCTGTGGCCTCTGATGGTACTTCCGTGGCTGACCTGGCCTCTGAGGTCCTTTCAAGGCTCCACAAATACCCATACCAGACAGGAAGCAGAGGACGCGCTCTAATACCAGACAGGAAGCAGAGGACGCGCTCTAATACCAGACAGGAAGCAGAGGACGCGCTCTAAT